ACATGTACAGTTCTGATGACATCACTTACTGTCATCCAACCAGAGAACTGAAGAACATGCGAACACATGTACAGTTCTGATGACATCTCTTACTATCAACCAACCAGAGAACTGAAGAACACACACATGTATACGGTTCTGATGACATCACTTACTGTCAATCAATCAGAGAACTGAAGAACACACACATGTACAGTTCTGATGACATCACTTACTGTCATCCAACCAGAGAACTGAAGAACACACATATGTATACGGTTCTGATGACATCACTTACTGTCATCCAACTAGAGAACTGAAGAACACAGACATGTACAGTTCTGATGACATCACTTACTGTCATCCAACCAGAGAACTGAAGAACACACATATGTATACGGTTCTGATGACATCACTTACTGTCAACCAACCAGAGAACTGAAGAACACACACATATACAGTTTTTTATGACAGTACTCCTTTTTTAAGTGCTAGAACTCAACATATTCAAATATAACAACTGTGTCTTGTGTAATTCAAAATGGTATTCCAATATGTACCCTTATTCTATATCAATAATCTCTTATTTTCTCTTCATTAGTACCGGTAATCTGTATTTTCCCTTATGTAAATTTCAGATTTTTCTCCATGGCAACAACCTCACCACACTACATCATCATATCCATAAAGAGATTCTGCCAACAGAGTTGGCTGGTCTGATGCCTGCATACAATATTGAGCGATTTGCCAGAGAGATAATTGAAAGTGGTTTTGAATTGACTTTTGGTGGTGGAACTGTACCTTATGATAGAACAGCACAGACAGGTGCCATGAACAGGTAACCACCAATTGTAGTATAGTGGATGAGGGGTAGACTTATATGGGAGAACACTATGAAATGTTATGTATTTTGTGATGCATTACAGGTCCACATGTTTCTTGATCTGATTCAAAATGGCTGAATGCTGGCCATTTTAATTCTTAGAATTCACGAATATCAAGTACTTTTGCCATACCGGAACTGGATCTCAGTCGTTTTGTTTAAACTTGGTACAAACATCTGCAATTCCTGCTCAGAATCTCGGTTGTGTAGATAGATTTTATTCAAACTTGATATGGGATCTTGACGCACATCATTTTGTTTGTCAGATCAGATGCAAAATTGCTGATTCCTGCACATTTTGTTTCAGTAAATAGCTATTTTGGGGACATATCACTGACTTTTCATGTTCAAACTTTATACACTTTGTAATTACTAGTATATTATTTATTTATTTCTGCAGATCACTGTCTGTCCCTTTACCAAATGAAAACTATGATGACACAAACAACCAGGACAAAGAAGGATGTAACATGGATTTTCTGTTGAAATTTGATTAATCTTCATGTGACTATATCTATACAACTAACCCAGTACTATATATCCCAGAAACCTTTGCAGTACTATCAATGCATTTGAGATTATATTGTTCAATCTCTTTTCCACATCATTATGTACTTCCTGATATCACATTTGTTTATCACTGTTCCTTGCTTTTATTTTTTGCAAAGATTTTGAAAAAAATTGACAGCCATATCTGGAGAGATATATAGATCTTTGTGTTCACAAGATACAATATGTGGTGTATGCTGTCATATGGCACCATACTAAGTTTTAATAATGCAAACTGGAAATATATTGATCATTACTGATCATTGGAAACCACTTCGGTCACAACTATGTATATCATAACTAATTAGTATGTTTTCCAGAATATATATGGAAAATACAATTTCTGTTTTGTCTCAGTATTGGTCATGCGATAAAAAGTTGTCACTCGATATGGCTCACTCATAGTATAATGGCTAATGATCTCATATATCAAGTGATGACCTCATAGTTATATCAAGTGATAACCTCATGGTGATATCAAGATATGACCTCATAGTGATATTAATTAAGTGATGACCTCATAGTGGTATCAAGTGATGACCTCATAGTGGTATTAAGTGATGACCTCGTAGTGATATTAGGTGATGACCTCATAGTGGTATCAAGTGATGACCTCATAGTGATATTAAGTGATGACCTCATAGTGGTATCAAGTGATGACCTCGTAGTGATATTAGGTGATGACCTCATAGTGATATCAAGTGATGACCTCATAGTGATATTAGGTGATAACCTCATAGTGATATCAAGATATGACCTCATAGTGATATTAAGTGATGACCACATAGTGATATTAGGTGATGACCTCATAGTGATATCAAGTGATGACCTCATAGTGGTATCAAGTGATGACCTCATAGTGGTATCAAGTGATGACCTCGTAGTGATATCAAGTGATGACCTCATAGTGATATTAGGTGATGACCTCATAATAATATCAAGTGATGACCTCATAGTGATATTAGGTGATAACCTCATAGTGATATCAAGATATGACCTCATAGTGATATTAAGTGATGACCTCATAGTGGTATCAAGTGATGACCTTGTAGTGATATTAGGTGATGACCTCACAGTGGTATCAATTGATGACCTCATAGTGATATCAAGTGATGACCTCATAGTGGTATCAGGTGATGACCTCATAGTGATATTAAATGATGACCTTAAAGTGATATCAAGTGATGACCTCGTAGTGATATTAGGTGATGACCTCATAGTGATATCAAGTTATGACCTCATAGTGATATTAAGTGATGACCTCATAGTGATATCAAGTGATGACCTCATAGTGATATTAAGTGATGACCTCAAAGTGATATCAAAATATAACCTCATAGTGATATTAAGTGATGACCTCACAGTGGTATCAATTGATGATCTCATAGTGATATCAAGTGATGACCTCATAGTGGTATCAGGTGATGACCTCATAGTGATATTAAATGATGACCTCATAGTGATATTAAGTGATGACCTCATAGTGATATCAAGTGATGACCTCATAGTGATATCAAGTGATGACCTCATAGTGGTATCAAGTGATGACATCATAGTGATATCAAGTGATGACATCATAGTGATATCAAGTGATGACCTCATAGTGGTATCAAGTGATGACCCTGTAGTGATATCAAGTAATGGCTACCTGTGTGCAAGTTATTATTCACATATCATTTGTGCTATTAAATAAGAGTTGAAAACCAATTAACTCTCTAGTACTATTTTCAATATATTTTGTAATTACAAATTTACATTGTCCATAACTTCAAAAATGAATGGAAATCTAGAATCATTTTAAATTTGCCTAAAGACTTTTTTTTATTTATTTCTAAACTGGTGAAAACCATGCCAGCCATACAACATTTTTCAAAGTTCATTGACCTGAACTCAGTTACTATCAGCATATATTTACATTTCTATTTATTTCTATTCATTATTTATTATTATTTTTTATAAATAGCATAAATACTATTCCAAATGTATGCAATGATATATCCTTATTACAAGCGTAATAGATTATATTTCAGAAATATATCTATACAGTGTATATATGGTATAAATGTCCATGATGTTTATTTATTTATTTATTAATTTATTTATTTATTTATTAGTATATTCCCTATGCATACTATACATGTAGGTGAACATACTATAATGTAAAAGTTCAGTTAAGTTTTAATTATTTTAAAATGTGCAGAATTAAAACCTAGTGAATACACACAGTTATTGTATTGTTTTCTTCACAAACTTGAATTTACTGAAAACGGTAAAGTCCTTTTGAAATTCTCACTGTGACTCCCTGTTTTGAGGTCCCCTGAGAAATGTTCCTTGTGACTACCTGTTTTAAGGTTCTCTGAGAAATGTCCCCTGTGACTCCCTGTTTCAAGT